CCCCGAACGAACAACCCCCTTAAGCTCATACTACTGAATCAATTTAAAAGAATCAAAAACTGTTCGAAAGATATTAAGTGGGAACGATACTGATTAGTTTTAGGTGAAAATCTACCTAACCGTTTTCTTGTAATTCGTTGTTGAAAAAAAAATTGAGCCGATTTTTATGAAACTTTTTTTGATGATATATATCATGGTCTTATAGAACTTACTGAAATATTACGACCTTACGACAAGTAGTTTAATTTTAAAAATTAATCAAAGTTTGAGAAAATGAGTAGTTTTTTTGACGTTTGTTACAATTAAAATTAGACGTTTTGCTTGGTATAATGATAGAATACTTGGTCTTAATGAACATACTAAACCATTAAAGTCCTAGGGAAACTGGTTCAAATATAAGAATTATTGACTTGTGAAAATTTGCTTTTAGAAAATCCTCCGAGTTAACGTGCTCGTTCGTTTTTAATTAATAATAAATCCACTCGGAATACTTTTAATCACTCATAAATTAATAGATTTTTTATTGATTAAGTCGATTATTTACGCATATCGGGAAGTTCATGTAACTTGCCTCAATACAAAATACCAATACCAACTAGTTAACAAATAGATTTTCACATTTTTTGCTACCAAGAAAGAAGGCTTCATTACCAGCTGTGTTACCACAGAATTTGCTTATAAAGCTGGTAAATATATGCAATGGCAGTGGTGATTATTTTATATGTTTGTTATTTTGCATGACATGAATGATACCTTGTGGATGATGTGGTGGAATATGAGGGTCGATGGGCATCTGTGCGTGCGGCGGTGGCGGTGGCAGGCCGGGTCCTCCTGGACCAGAAAATTGCACTAGATAAAATGATCAATGTGTTAAAAAAAGCAGAACATACATGTGCACACAATGAATTAAATGAAACCAATTGCAAAGCATGCAAATATTTGTGTAGTAATGATGATGGAGATATGTTGACATTGGAAAAAATATGCAAGCTTTTTGTAAGAAAAGTACAACTTTATTATCAACTTCCCGAAGGAGAAGTTTATGTTTTCATCAAAAAAATCCGATTCGCTAATTTTATGTTTCCTCGTTCGTTTCAAGCTATTCTGAATCGAACGAGACCAAATTTGGAATAAGTATGTGTGTGTGTGTGAACAGATTTTTTGCCGTAAATCGACGTTTTCTTAAAAACTGCTAGGCCGATTAAAAAATTTAAAAGCCATTCGATGTAACTCGATGAGGATTATCGTTTCTCAGTTTTTTGCGATAATCGGTCGAGCCTTTTCTTCGGAATTAGCAGAAATGTGCAAAAATTTTCATCTACGATTTAGCCAAAAATTTTGAATCGATTTCAGAAATGCAAAAACTATTTGAAGAATGTTATTTGGGAATCGTGCTGATTAGTTTTTGGTTAAAGATCGACCGGGCCGTTTTCTTATAATAAAGTCATTCGATGTATCTCGTTGAGGACTAGCGTTTCTAAGTTTTGTGCGAAGATCGGCCAAATATCCCAAATAGATTTTAAAAATTTAAAAACTACTCGAAAAATTTTATTTGAGAATCGTGCTGATTAATTTTGGACAAACATCGGCCAGCCTTTTCATCATAAATAATGGTTAAAATTAGTATAGTATGGCATCGTACCTTTAGGCAAATTGCTGGAACTTTCCGTACCAAAAATTATGATTTTTAAAAAAGATTTTAACGTTGAAAAAAAAATAGATTTTTGAGATCTTTGAAATTTTCGAAAGATTTGAAAGATTTGAATTTGAAGTTTAATATTTTGGAAATGTTGAACTTTTTTTTCAAACCAATCGCTCTGTTAGGTGCCTAGAGACGTAGTATCGAAGCGCGTAAGCGCCTCTTCGCAGTCTGGAGCATGGTAACAGAACCCATAGAAATTGTAAACAATTTTTTTCTTTTTGTTAAAATTCCTATAAAATATCTAATAATTTGTTGTGCATATGCCCAATGATCATTTTTGACCGCCAAATGGCACTTATTTTTACTTTTTTTACTAGATCTCCGAAACCGCTAGACCCGCCTTCCCAAAAAATTGTCAGTTCTTCATTTCGTCAATACAAATAAAAGGTTTTTTTGAATCATTCAAATCGGTCGCTCCGTTCTCTAAAAAACTGAAGTACCATTTTTGACACTTTGCCCCGTATCTTCAAAACGGCTGGACCTGCCTTTGTCAAAAAACTAATCAGCACGTCTCTTTATCAATACGAATCGAATGTTTTTTGAATTATTCAAATCGGTTGATCGGTGTTCAGGAAATCGTGGACGAAAATTTGTATTCGCACACACACACATCAATTTTTTCTAAGGTATGCCAAAATGTTCAGACACTTTTGCAACTTAAAGATATGCAAAAATGTTCATTTTCGATTTTATGCGATTACTATAACTTACCCTACGGAAGTTAAAAAAATCGACTATTTTAATAAAAAAATATTTTAATAAAAATGTTTAGGGTAATAGAGTATATGGTCTTAGTAAACATACTAAAGTATTATAGTCCTAAGAAAAGTTGTTTAATTTTAAAAATTGATTAAATTTATTTGGAATTAATTGATCGCGATTTTAAAAAATACTCTGTGTATGCACTAGACGCATGTTTGTTTTTTAATAACGTGTAATATTTTTTTTTGTTCAAAATTTATAATCTAAAATAGTTTCTTACATTAAGGACCTCTACAGCAACTCGGTATACTTAAATCAATCACTCATAAATTAATATATTGATCTCTATTGATTATATCGATTATTTAAATATTTCGGAAAGTTCATGCAACTTGCCTTAAGGCAAAATGCCACTTACAACTAGTGTTTATCTCTAATTTATTCCTATTACCTGGTTGAGGTGCCAAAGGCGCCTGCTGCGGCGGCATCTGTGCCTCAGGATGCGGCGGAGCCGGTGCATGATGGTGCCCTTGTGGCGGTTCCACCACCGGCGGCATTTGATTACTTTCCGAAATTGGCGGTGTTTCCACTGCCGGCGGTGGTGGTGTTGGTTCATTCTTAATTTCACTCTTTTCCTCTGTCTTCACAATTGGTTTTTCTTCTGGAGGTGATTTGGAGGCGCTTTCATCTCCTGCACTTGGCGGAGCTGGTGTTGATTCGGCTGTTGAACCTTCTGGAGGCTCGATTTCCATTGCTTCGGATTCGGTCTTCTGTTTTTATGGTGTCTGGTTTTTGGTCTTTGGGCTCTTCTATTTTTTTGGGCTGCTCTTGCTCCATTGGCTAGAGGAAATAAGTTGATATTATAAAATAGAATAGTTATGATATTTTTTCTTTATTTAGAAATGCCTATTGGTGATATGTAGCTTTACAGAATAATTAGTTTTAGGTAAATTTGTAGAAAAACCATACCCTTACGGACAAGTTTGTTTGAATTTATTACATTGTCGTTGAAATATGTTATAGGATATTTATTGAAGATTGTACAATATGTGGTGGTCAATGAAGACTGAAGTTTTGTTTGCGCAATGAAGAGGGTCTAGGTTTTTGGAATCTAGCTAGAAAAAATTGTAAGGCTTTAATTTTTTTTTTGCTTGAGATGGTCACAAGCTAGTTGGTTTGGATGTCGACTTGGCCGAGTCTTGCATCTGGAGCAGTAATGGTTAATTTCTTCTTCCACGGTGAAAATTCTAAGATCTTGATGTATTGGCCAGTTTGGTACATATTTTGGGGCGTTCACGATTTGTTTCAAAATTTTGTTCCGGAACTTCTTTAGAATTGCTATGTTTGATTTACTGACCGCATCCCATAGTTGTAGACCGTAGGGCCATATTGGTTTAATAATTGTCTTGTATATTAGGAGCTTATTTTCTAATAAGACTTGTGATTTTCAACCCATTAATCAATTAAATTGTCTAAGTATTAGTTCTAGGTGCTGGTGCTTTTTAACTACATTGGATACAGAAACCAATGGTGAAATTCAATCTAACAAGAGGGCATGAACCTTGCCATAGGGTAAACGTAACATGAATTGCTTTAGAATTGTTTACTTTTAATCTCCATAATTTCATCCACTTTTCTTTTCATAGGCAAGCAATTGGTTGTGATGCTGAGCTAGAATTCCCGTATCATCTGCAAGCCTTTAAATTTGATAATAAAAAAAGGTTTATCGAAATTCATTGAAAATTGTTAAAGTTATGCAACATTTCAATTGACCACATATACATAATGCACCCTGAATGTTTGAAAAAAATGTAATAAAACATTATTTTCTATTTTTAAATTCGAAATAACCGCGATTTTGTCCACAACTTTCCCATCGGCCAACACACGTGCCGGCAACGTGTTGAATAGAATCTCTTTAGTATTTCGAGGTTAAGCTAAACAAAATCAATTAAAAACGTGTTTTAGTTAATATTTTCGCCAGTCAGTGATTTTTTAGTGATTAATAATTACGTAATAAGCTCTCGTGAAATTGTACAAACCGCCGGACTTTGCGCAAAATAAAAAAAACAGTCAAAAAATACATAAAAGGTATGGTAAATACTAAACTCTTCCTTAAATTGCTGATTTTCGTTATGGCATCAGACTTGGGAGTATTTACACTAAAACTATAAAATATTAAGAATTTAGAAAGTCTTTAGATGATCCACATGACGTTGCCTTTTATATATACAAGCACCTGTCTGTATTTTTAGATTAATCGATAGATTCTTCTCTAAAGTATTTATTCGTGGCATTGATTATGAACAACCGAGGCAAGAACAGCCCTCGTGGATCATTTTTTTTCTGATTAAATAATTGTTACCGACTTAATTCACTTAGTGATTCTTAAAACAGACAGTCTTTTCTGTTCTGATTTACTTTTCAAAAATATTTATTCGTGACAATGATTATAATTAATTGAGAAAAGGGCTGATTATTATGAATTTATCAAAGTCTTGAATTCAAACATACACTACAACTATAGCATCTATAAAACATGTAGAATTTAGAAAGTCTTTAGATGATCCGTAGGATATGTCTGTATTCTTACATTAATCGATACATACATCTTTGATCTTCTAAAGTATTTATTCGTGTCATTGATTTTGAACAATCGAGGAAAGGACTGTCCTGGAATCTTCTGTTTTCTTATCGAATAATTGTCACTGACATCATTCACTTTGTGAATCTTAGAACAAACATACTTTCTGTTCTAATTTACTTTACAAAAATATCTATTTGTGACAATGATTATAATAATTAATCGAGAAAAGGGCTGGTTATTATTGAATTTGCCAAAGTCTTGGCAAAACATTACATTTAGAAAGTCTTTGGATGATCCGTTGCATTTGTCTGTATTTTTACATTATTCAATAGATACTTTGTAAAAGTATTTAATTTGTGGAATTAATTATAAACAATCGAGGCAAGAACAGCCCTCATGAATCATTTTTTTCTGATCGAATAAATATTACCAACATCACTTTGAAAATCTAACAACAGACAATCATTAATCGATAAGAGATGAAATTTGTCAAAGTCTTGTATTCAAACATACACTACAGGAATTTAGAAAGTCTTCGGATGATCCATATGTTGTTCTCATAATTTGTTTGTATTTTTAGATTAATTGATAGATACTTTTCTGATCTTCTAAAATATTTTTAATTTAGACTTTCTTTAGTATTAGTTTTTATAAACAATCGAGCAAAGGACAGCTCTAATATTGCTTCTGGATCATTTTTTTCATTTACTTTGTGAGTCGTAGAATGGACAGTCTTTTCTGTTCTGATTTTCTTTGCAAAAATATTCGTGTCAATGATTATAATAAATCGAAAAAAAGAGCTGGTGATAATTATAAATTTGTCAATGCCTTAAATTCAAACATTTCTGTCACTGTAACGGAACTCTACATTAAAATCCTTAGATCGTACAGTTTCTTCTATAGAATTGGAATGCATTATACTGCCTCTGCATTTTAAAAAAATATTTTATAATCAAAACAATATTTATTCAATAAATGCATAATGACATAATGAAAAACAATCTAGAACTTCAAGTTCAATCATTCGATTGATTATTCATTGCTCGTCAGACTCAAAAAAAAGTATTTTTAATATTCAAATATGTTACTTAATGCTTTCAAATTATTATTATGCAAATTGAAATAAAAAATATCAGGTATTCTAAATCTGTATGACAAATGTTGAAAGTGTAATTCGTAGCTCAAAATTTTAATGAATGCAAGAATTTAAAGAAACTCTCAAGAATTTGATAAAAAATTAGTATTATATAAGGTATGTGAATACTATTCATTGATTTATTTTTATTGTTATATTAAAATGAAAAAAAAAAGAAGATGTTGAAGCAAAAGCTCTTATAAATTATTTTCATTGCGTATCATATTTGCATTATTGTTATTCTCATTATTTTTTTTACTGATTGCTCTTTTATTACTTGTTATATTTATAGAAAAAAAACGATAAAGTTGAAGTAAATCTTATAAATGATTCTTATTAGATATAATGCAAGAATTTAAAAAAACTCAAGAATTTGATAAAAAATTAGTATTATATATTGTATGTAAATACCATTCACTGATTTATTTTTATTATTGTTATATTTAAAAAAAAAAAAACATTAAGTTGAAGCGAGAGTTTTTATAAATTTTTTTCATTGCATATCATATTTGCATTATTATTATTCTATTTTTTTTTACTGATTGACTCTTATTATTTGTTTATTAAAAAAGAGAAAAATAAAATAGAAGCAAATCTTATATATTATTCTCATTACATGTCAAATGCAAATATTTTTCACTGATTGCCTTGGTATTGCATGTAATTTATTTTAAAAAAATTTAATAAGCCTAAGCAAATATTCTTATAAACCATTTTCACTACATACTGTATGTAATTCTTTTTTACTGATTGGCTTTTTATATAATGAAAAAAAAAAAATAATAAAGTTCAAGTTATAAATTATCCTTATTTTATATCATCATACAAAATTGTATTTCACTGGTTTCTTTGAATTTTTCTTTGGATTTTTAATTGGAGTTTTATTGACCACATTGAGTATATATATATATATATATATTTTTTTACCAATTGTACTATTTCACGAGAGCGTTTTCATTAAACTATCTATTTACCTGTATATAGTGCAGAACTATCATCTATCCGTGTGAAAAGCATGGTGAGGAAATTACACAGTGATGAAAAAAAATTAGTGGTCTAATAAACGACACAAACATGCAATAACTAATAACTTAATTGTTGGTTAAATTATTTATATCGGTAGTTATAAATTTGTGAGACTACTTGTGTTGTGCTTGGTGAGTGTTAAAAAAGTGATGTAAATGTGAAAAATGTGAAAAAATACTTCATAAGGTAAGAAATAAATGTATTTTTATGTTTTATTTAATTTTGCATATTAATATTTATCAAGATACATTAATCAAGCATGTGTAGAATAAAAAATTTAAAACTTCAGATCATAAAATTTGCATCCTGTTCTTTGTTTTAATAAATTCAATACAAATAATGTTTTTTAAAACACTTGAGGAATTGTGCAAAATTAATAATAATGATAAACCATTACTATATTCAACACCGTACTCAAATACAAAATGTTCTTCAAATATAATTTTGAGTGAGCAATTATTGAGCAAAATGTAATTTTTGAATATTATAAATATTAGGTTGTCAAATATCTCCCTTCCGCCTTTTTGTATTATAAACCAAGAGCAAAAAAGCGGAAGGGAGATATTTGACAACCTAATATTTTATATTTATTTGTGAGATAAATGCTTTACAGCAGCAAAGTGTTGTACATAAAATCTCTAGTTTAATATTATCTAAAATATTATTACATACCTCTCTCGATCCCTGACTATCCTCAGTCGGTGCAGATGCCATAGTAGCACCTGCAGCCGCAGGAGCATTATTCTGGGCCTCTTCGACAGATTTCGGGCCCCCTGTACCACCAGCTGATCCTCTGTTGGCATCATCAGCCCGAGGACCTTTTTTGGTCCGGCTAAACGTTCTTGTCGCAAAGCCTCGTATTGTTTTTCCACCATTTTCTGGAACGCTTCTTCGGTCACGGCTGGTTTACAGTGCTAGAGAAATAGAAAGATAATTAATAATAATCTTATATATAAAAATGGAGCTCTCGATAAAATGATCCGCTAAAACTCGAAAACGGCTAAACCGATTTGGCCAGTCTTAGTCTTGAAAAATTCGTGCTAATCAGTAGGTTGTCGGAAAGGTGAGATATTGTTTCAAAATCGCGTAGAAACTTTACATTTTTAATTTGAACATTTTTGTGGAAGCGTAATTTAAATAAAACAATGGACGGTGGCTAATACGTCAAACGTCAAACGTTTTTGACTCATGATGTTTAATTATGTTTAATAGGATGTTTAACGTGAATATTATTTAATTATGATTAAATTGTAGTAAGTAGTTTTGTTCGTAGTTATATTTATACACAAAAACGTTATTAAACTGGCCGCAAGTGTTATTAGAATCTCAAAATATTAACTTTTTTGAAATGTTGATATGAAAATGCAGTTTTTGGCATATTTTTCTCAAACACGGTGCTCTGAAAGATCTCATTTGTATAATTGTATACTCATTGGTATTTATAAAATATTTATAAAATATTATTTAAATAATAGGTTATATTATTTTTTATTTATGTTATTTAAATTCAGAACCTAAATTTGGTATCGATCAAATGGACATTTTGTCGAATAACATTTTCCCAGTTATAATTTCCTAGAATTTATCGAAGAATAGATAGTAATATATGAAGGTCCAGGGTTAAAAAGGTCCACCACCGATGTGTCAAAAACCAGTAAAGTTAAGCATTGTTTAACAACAATATTTGAAAGTAGAGGCAAAAAGATGTATAACCAGCTATAACCTTGATTCTCATGACTTTGCTATCGGGAGATGAACAGAAATTTTTGAAAATCCATAAAAAAAAGTATTTTCTTCCGTTTGTAGTATTCAGCATTAGTTAAAAGTGTAATTATTTTGTAAAATATATTTAAAATTAAAATACTCCGCCTATAGGGTAAAAAGGTCTAAATAACAAAATTTTTGAAAAACAGCAAGAAAGCACATTTCTACAATGATGAAGTAGCAGGCAGTTTTACTGAACGTAGCCAGATAATTGTTCGTTTGAAATGTGTTATTTGTTGTGATATAATTGTTATGGTTTTCACAATATAGTTTATATTTGCTCAAAGTCAAATTGGACCTTTGTGCTTTGACCTGCTCTACATATATATTTTTTATTAAATTTACTTTAATCCATTGAATGTTACTTTTGAAAAAGCAGGCCAAAGAAGAAATACTCAATTCATTTTCTATCTCTCCTCGCAGAAATTTGATAATTTTGTATAAGCTCAGTAGTATTATTTACACAAAATCCAGAATCCAAAAAGAATCTGAAAGACTTGAAACGTAATCAATAAGTCGAAAGACCAAAAAAGATTTGGATTGGAATATACCATGTTTTCTATAGAAAGTGTATAAAACTTCCGGTGTGATTGTATTGACAAAATATAGACAAACTAATGGGATTTATTGTTTTTAAAATACCTTATTGTATATAGCATTCAAACAACACTTAATCCTTATACACTAAAAGTATTAATATTTTTGATTCTCTAGAAATTGTTTAGAATATACCTTACTTAGCAAAATAACGTTTGCCGGGTCAGCTAGTTAATAATAAAAATCTTTGTATAATATTTTACTGTATGGGTAATTTTATTTTTTTAAATACCTTCTTTAGTTCTTGTTGAAAAGTTTCACTGCTTTCAATAAACTTCCTCTTCTTAGTTTCAAATTTGTCTTCGATCTGCTGCAACTCAGCCTCTAATTTTTTCTGATGCATTGTTAAAGAATGGACTTGTCTTCTTAAAACCTGATAAAAGTTGATAGAGATAAATTGTTGAAGTAGCCAGATGCAATCTTATTATTAAAGTTAATGAATACATTGAACACAGACACTAATTACTTTGAAAGACCAGATACAATTTATTATTACCTAAAAAATAATAATTTGGTTCATTATTGAATTTATTAACTTCCCGAAGGAGAAGTTTATGTTTTCATCAAAAAATCCGATTCTCTAATTTTATGTTTTCTCGACGTTTCAAGCCATTCTGAATCGAATGAGACCAAATTTGGAAAAAGTATGTGTGTGTGTGTGTGTGTATGTGAACAGATTTTTTGCCGTAAATCGACGTTTTCTCGAAAACGGCTGGGCCGATTTCAAAAATTTAAAAGCCATTCGATGTATCTCGACGAGAACTATCGTTTGTCAGTCTTGTGGGACGATCGGCCGGGACGTTTCTTTATAAATAGCAGAAAAGTGAAAAATTTTTCGTTCACGTTTTAGCCCGCAATTCTGAACCGATTAAGAAAATTCAAAAACCGTTCGAAAGATATTGATTGGGAATCGTGCTGATTAGTTTTTGGTAGAGATCGGCCGGGCCGTTTTCTTGTAATAAAGTTTTTAAAAAAAAAATTCGACGATTTTTATAATTATTTTTTTGACGGTAGATACCATAGTCTTCTAGATCATACTAAAATATTACGGCCCTACGACAACTGGTTCAGCTTTAAAAATTCGTCAAAGTTTGCAAACATTGGTATCGTTTTTTTGGCATTTGTCGAAATTAGACTTTTGATCGACGTTTTCTCAAAAACGCGTGAACCGATTTTAGAAATTAAAAAGCCATTTGATGTGTCTCAATGAGGACTATCGTTTGTCAGTTTTGTGCGACGATCTGCCAAGCCGTTTCTTCATAATTTGGATAAAAGTGTTAAACTTTTCGTCCACATTTAAGCTCATCCTACCGAACCGATTTTAAAAAATCAAAAACTGTTCGAAAGATATTAGTTGGGAATGGTACTGATTAATTTTAGGTGAAAATCTACCGAGCCGTTTTCTTGTAATGAACTGTTGAAAAAAAGCCGATTTTCATGGAACTTTTTTTGGCGATATATATCATGGTCTTATAGAACTTACTGAAATATTACGGCCTTACGACAAGTAGTTTAATTTTTTTTTAAAATTCGTCAAAGTTTGCTAAAATTATTATCGTTTTTTTTAAAGTAGGATTGATGAAGTATATTATTTACACTTTTTTTTGATTAAGTCGATTATTTACACATATCAAGAAGTTCATGTAACTTGCCTCAAGGCAAAATACCAAACCAACTAGTGTGTAAGTTGTTCACAGTTCAAGAAAATTAGCTTAGTATTTGCGATGGTAAATTATTTTATTGCCATTATATAGAAGAGAGTAGATGTGTAACATTTATGAAGGCGCAAACAAATATTTTTCGATATTTCGACTCTAGGCAGCTAAACCAGTGCGATTGCTTTGAAAAAAATTTCAAAATTACCAAAATATTTTAAAATGAAGAAAACATTTTAATTTCAACAATCTAATGAATAGATTTAATCAATAAAATAATAAATTTAATCTTATTTAGAAAAATTAATTTTTGGTATGGGAAGTTCCAGCAATTTGCCTTAAGGCACGATGCATATACCTCTAGTTTATTACCTGCATTCTAGATGTTGTAACTACAGATCTGACATCTGGTACGATAGCATCAGAAAATATTTCATTAATCAGGCGGTGATTTCGGTTATAGCGAGCGAAGGCTACATGTTTAGCAGAGTAACCATCATCTTGATCTGAGAGTAATAAGACAGTATAATTTAATTATTATGGTCAAATTAATATAATATTAATTAAATTAAATGGTATATTTACCATCTTCATCTTCAGCTGGTTGAATATCAATTCTTCTGTCTTGTTGTTGTTGTTTGCCACTTGAACGATCATGAACGTCTCTTTCTTCTGAGACAAGAGTCACTATAAAAGATAACAAACTATTATAAGAATATCTTTGCTATATGTTGTTTAAACTAAAGTTAATTTATTAGATAAATCCTGGATATTCCAATAAATTTATATGTTTTTCTAAATAATTAATCCACTAAATAAAAATAATAAATACGTCCTCATCAGGTTTTTCTGTCAAAAACAACTTTTTATGATATAACAATATTATTAATGATGATTACATAATATTAAAAAACTTATAAATGTATGAATTATCTACTTTTTCTTAAAAAAGGAAAAAATATGTAGAAATATATAAAAAATTAGGAAGCAAAAATTATTTACCTAATTTTTTATTTGTTGGATTAATTGTTTGGAAAGAAACAATTAAACAACAAGCGATATATATATATATACATATATATATATATATATATATATATATATATATATTTATACATATATAGATAGATAGATAGATATATATCATATATATATATATATATATATATATATATATATATATTACCCTTACCTGGTTTTACTCTATTTTTAGCAGCAATATAAGCCAAATAAGCAGATGAGTTATGATAAGCTTTCAAATTCTTTTCATATTCCACTTTATCAGCTTCATATTCTTCAACAAATTCAACTTTTTCGCTCTCGGGCAAATCCCTCCACATTCCTCCAATGATTTTTCCAATTTCCCATAATTTTAGATCTGGATGATTTGCTTTTACTGAATCCCAAACTCTACGAGAGTATCTCATGTAGGGCATGAGTGGTTTCTCTGGGGCTTTCGGTGGCTTTAGGGCAGTCGCCTAGAGAAAAAGATTATTGATGTAATTTACTTTGATATTTTAATGAATCATAATTTAATGATTTAATAACCTGCATAATTTTATTCTATTTATAGTTAGAAATAGAATGTAGAATAAATAATTAATTGTTTGATTTTTCAATTTAATGTTATGAAAATTATTTCTTCATTTATACTTTACTCTTATCAAACTTCATAAACAGATATTTTTTTCTAAGAATTTATATCAAATATTTACATAATTTCATTTATTAAAAATATTTTAGTTATAAAGCTTGCATGAATAAAAATCATTTCTGAAATTAAAAAAAAAGTATTTTGTTGCACAATGATTTAAACAGTAGTCACTTATAAACAAATAGTTTTGTTAAACATATTTATCAATATAAATCAAGTTTTTTAATGCAAAAATCATAAAAATATACATAACTTATTACCTCTTATATATTTGCTACTAATAATTCTAAACATTAATTTTTAGAATACAAATTTGATAAATACAGATTATGTTTAGATTTTAAAATACTTACAGAAGCACTAGCTTTGCTAACTTTCTGCGGTAAATAACCAGGATGACTGTGTGGGGTCACTATAAAAGGTGACCCCGAATTATCTTTTCGGCTTCCTCCATCTCCACCTCCTCCACCACCCGAGGCTCTTAATCGTTCTAAAAGAATAAACAAAATTAAATTACCTTTATTGAACCTAGCTTAACATTACAAACTAATACAGTTGTAAATGATATAAAATATATTACATAAACATATTATTTATAGTTCCTAATACATTTATATCATTACTAAATTATTGTTACAAGTAGAGCAAAATAAAAACTTCTGATAGATTCTCCGCTGTTAGTATCTATTTTAATCAAATTTTGATATTATACTTATATTATATATAGTTAATAATCTATCATTGTTTTATCTAACAAGTTGCAGAAAAATAGGATTATAAAGAGTAAAGAGTAAAGAGTAAAATAAAAAATGTTGAAATATAACATATAATATATTGAATTGTAAATGAATTTAAAAAAGTAACATTTTTTATTCAAAATACACACAAACACTTGCTATAAATCTCAAACTATGCTATTAAACACATTTAAACTATCTTTAACAAATATTTGTAAATTACTATTATCGAGACTCTTAATTGTAATAAATAAATTAATTAATTAATATTACCTTTATGAAACCTAGCTTAACATTACAAACAACATGATTAGCTTTTGGTAAATATTATAAGATTTATTATTACTACTATTCCATGAATGATAGAGATTCCTTAAAGCACTGTATAATTACCTTGTGATTGGATAAAACTATTTTAATATCAGTGTAAAATATAAAAAAGGAGACAAGTTGAAATATAAGACCTAACCTATTTGACATCGAATTGAAAATTAACTTTGAGAAGTACCATTTGTTCTTCGAAATACAAACAATCACTGGCCATAAACCTCAAATAATGCTTTTGAATAAATTAGAACTATTTTTAACAGTAAAATTCATACCAAACACAAATATTTTGATTTGTGGTATTTACAAACGCCATATTTGTTTTGATGCAAGTGTTTGTAAATTATTGTAGTAAATATTATTTATTAATTATAAATACTCACGAGTACTTTGTACAGGTGTACTAACTGCAATTTGTTTATAAGTCGGTGGCATAGACATTTTTGATAAAATATATCTTCTAAGCCTTTCTTAAAATTATTGTGATATCTTGTTGTAAGTTCTGCAAAATTCATAACACATTGATTAATAAAGTAATTGCGCATAAATTAACTTATACACATTTGAACGTAATTGACACTTTGTTACATGTATATTTTAATTATTTATCTAACTATATATAAAAAGCAGTAACTTTATATAATTTGTATACATATATCATTCCGTACATTTTTGAGAGTCCACCAAATTGATTTTTATGAGTATTATAGCTAAGTATTAAATGCTCATCAATAAAATCACATTTTTATACATTTTACTACATTATTCTCGAGTTATAAAAATATAATAAAATTGTCATCTACATTTTGTTGACAAGACGCCACTAAGCAAAAATTGGTTCGCCGGTAGTGTTGCCATATTGGATAAAGAATGAAGTGAAGTTGGCGCGCGAAATTCAAATTTGAAAATAAAATTTAATAATCGACTTGAAAATGAATAATTTTGTTAAAAGTGATCTATATCAAAATCCATTTTTTTTATATAAATCGAAATTTGAAATTATTCATTTTCTTATTCATCAAATTATTTAAACATTGTAATGTTTTATTTATTCAATGGCATTGAGTGTGTTGCCTTTTATCTATTAATTTATTTAATATTTTCAAAATTTATCTCTAAAGCTGAAAACATACATTTTATATAAAAAAATCAAATAATTTATTTTTTTAGAAATAGTCATTAGTTTTTTAATAGACCCAAAATCATTTGTTACAATTTTTTAGAAATTCAAAGATTATATGTAAGAGTTTTTGTTTCTAAAACACATTTTTATTATTTGAGACTTGTATTATTTTCAACAAACAAAAGCTGAATTGTCAGCAAAGTAATTGTAAATACAAATTTTCTTCAGAAGACTAATATGATTTTTAATTTTACACATTAATTTCACCAATTATTTAGGTATTTAGCCAAGTCGATAAAGGGTTTTCAGAAAAACTCTTCAAAAATAGCTTTGATTTTTATAGAAAAATTATTCTTTTTTAATCTTACTTAAAATCAGAAGCATTTCAGAAAGTAAAAATATTTTTCGCTGTTGAAACAATATGTGTGTTATTTATATAAGGAAATAAGTTTTCTTTGAAGATAAAATTATTCGTGTATAGTTTTTGTGTTAAGAGTAGTTTTAAGTGCAGTAGTTATATTAATAATTAATATTCATATCATCAAAAATTTCTGTGTGGGACAATATATATTATATTACTTTTTTTTTCTGAATTAATCAACTAAGTGCCATAAACACCAAAATTAAATTAATCGTATAGACTTATAAATCATATAAACTTTAATATGAAGAGTTTGGTGTATTTTAAAAATTTGGCTTCCTTAGGACACATATTATTCAAAAAATTACAATTTTAAGAAGAATACTCTCGAATTTTTGCGAAAACCACCTTCTTTTCATAATATTTGGAAATTTATTAAAGATACGTATAACTTTAAGAGAAAAATATGCGATTTTTTATAAAAAAAGACAGCTTCATTTCATTACATTCTGAAATTTATTCAAGATACGTATGAAAGTATGTTTAAAAAAATTGTATGATTGCATTATATGAATCTTTCATAATTTTCGTAATTTTATGAAAACGTGATTGTTGTGCTTAATTCAAAAATATTCTATTTCTTAAAATTCTGATTTTTTTCTTTTAAAAATGTGTCAATCTTTTAGAATACATCCAACTCTTTATAAGAATTCTACACAATTAATTTTAATTTTGGTGGAAATGGCACTTTAAAATTAATAAGTATATAATTTTTTACCAACATAGGAAATTCTTATAATATAAATATTGAATTATTAATAACAACTATACTAATAACTATTCTTAACGCAAAAACTAATAAACAAATAATCGTTTCAAAGAAAATCACCCGACTTAAACTTATTTACATAACCATGTTTTTGAACAATAAATAAAATATATCCCACTTCTGAAATATTTTTGATTTTAAATAGTATTAGAAAACAAGATTTTTTTTAAAAAAAATATACAAAATCAAAGCTGTTTCTCAGAAAGAATAATCGTACATTAATTTTTATGTTAAAAAATGGTCCAACCACTCAAAAACTTTAACATATAATTAACAAATAAGGTACATTTTAAAACAATAAAAAATACCTCCCACTTCTTAAATATTTGATTTTGAAGATTAAAAACCGGAAATTAAAAAAAAAAATGCACAAAATCAAAGCTAGAAACAGCTTTATACAATAATTTCCATGTTAAGAGTAGTTAAACCACTCTTATTTTCCATATAAATAAAATACGTTAAATAAATTTTTACAATAAAAAATATATCCCACATCTAATTTTAGATATTAAATTTTTTTTCCAAAATCCACGTTTCTGAGGAAAATTATTCATATATATTTATTTCTACGCCAAGAGTAGTTCTTATTTAAATAAAATACATGTTTAAACAATGAAAAAGCATTTGCTTACTTTTGAAATATCTCTGATTTTAAATATAATTAAAAAAAAGTTCAAAATCAAAATTAGAAACAGCTTTATGTACTAATTTTATGTTGAGAATGGTTAAACTACTTTCCACGCTATTTTTCCATATAAATAAAATACACGTTGAGATTCTGATTTTAGATATTAAAAAAAATGACCGAAATCCATGTTTCTGAGAAAAATTATTCATATATAATTTTTATATAAATAGTAGTTTTTATATAAATTAAATACATGTTTGGACAATTAAAAAACATTTGCTTTCTTTTGAAATATTTCAGATTTTAACTATTTAAAAAAAAAAAATATTTAAAAAAAAGTAAAATTAAAGCTAGAAACAGCTTTATACATGAATTTTTATGTTAAGAGTAGTAAAATTGCTCCAAAACTTGTTCGTTTATATAAATAAAATACAATGTTTAAACAATAAAAAATATATTCCACTTCTGAAATATTTCTGATTTATGAAATGAACTTCTGAAATATTAGAAAAACGTCTAAAATCAAAGCTGTTTCTGAGGAGATTAAAATAAAATACATGTTTAAACAATGAAAAACATTAGCTTACTTTTGAAATTTTTCTGATATAAAATTTAAAAGAAAAATTACAAAATCAAAGCTGTTTCCAATACTTTCTATTTATGCCTTTATTGACTCGGCTAATGATGTATGTATATTTAACATTGATTAAAACTATTTCAATTCTGATGTTTCACATCAATTTAATTTTATAATGGTACTTTAATAACTAACATCATTTGTTTCACAACAAACTATAAACAATTAAATTAGTTACAAATCGAGAAAACTTGTACATCATTAATAATATTCATAAAATATGCACAATAGAATTAAATATGCATTTTTAAATATTAATATATACACAGCATAACAAATTCTATAATGGATATAGTTTAACAAAGTGTACATAGCACAAACTGTAATGTAATTTTTGCACTTTATAAATTATATCTATTATTTCACCAAAGTCTATGAAGATGAAGATTCCTGGACAGAACTGATCTAACGTCTTGCGTGAAACGCAAAGCATCCAGCACAGGCAGCAATGATAGCAAAGCCGTGTCCATGGGGTCTGAAAACCATGATTTTATAGGTATAGCGTTGTCTGGATAGCCTCTGTAAGCCCCCGGAGAATTGTCTAGTATAAAGACTCTGTTTAGATCATCACAGATCGCAGACAAGTCTTTTGTGTAAGATCCTAAATCAGGCGTACAATGTTGTCTATAATATCTTCTCCTTAAAATACCACGTCCGTTATCCAGTTTATCAGCAACAGCTGCCCCATAAATCTCCATGCTGGCTGTAAAAACAACCAGGTCGTACCATTGGGAAACTATATCCAAAAAAAAGTCCACATGTGGTCTTTTATGAACAAAAAACCTCACAGGATGCTTGTCTATTGTAACTTTGAGTATAAAATCAGGCGGGGTACCAGGTTTAACAGTCGACCTCTGCATTGCATCATGGTGCGAATGGATTAAGGTTTCATCTAAATCTAACACTAATGTTTTACGCTTAACAATACTTAATCTGTGTCTGGAGATAGGAGATAAGGGGTATATCTCGTATTTTACTGGCTGATGTTGCACCCAGGCTCTGACTTGTTTTTTGAACATAAAACACAAACATGTCCATACTTTGGAAACTACAACGTAAAACGCACGCAAGCCCATTTGCAATTGTTTAAGCATTTGGGTGATTTTGATAATAGAAATGTGATAATAGAAATTGAACTGAATTTCTATTTTGAGAAGTTGGATTGTGGAAACAGCTCTTTCATATTCAAAATTCTGGATTGACTTGATAAAGCAGTCTCGTTTGAGTCTTCAGAGTTCAATATTTTGAAAATCTGAAATAAACAAAAACTTATTTACTAAACTTTTCAAACCGGAATTAATATTTGTTATTCATTATAGCAGAAGAAATATATTGTTGTTCAGGAAGCTTTAGGCGTAACTAGTGGTGTATGGCATCGTGTCTTAAGGCAAATTGCTGGAACTTCCCGTACCGTAACGAAAAATTCGAGGAATATTAAATGTTTTCCAATAGATTATTATAAATGCTGTAACTTTCATTATTGTTATTTTCTCGACAAAATATAAGAGCTTATAATTTGGACATGAAAAATGATTAAACTAAAAAAAATTAAAAGTTTTAACCATGCTGACAATGAGTTAGAGTGAAGGACCTTATCTCATATTTCTGAGAATTATATAAAATGAATTGCAAAGTTAAAAACTATTTATTTGAAGTATATAAGTGAGCTTTAGAACTTGAGCCAGAATTAAAATTAATTATTCTGAATTATTTTTGATATTCAAAGAAATTATATTTTCGAAATTAAGAAAAGAAATTAAATTAAAAGAAATTAAATTGGTTATAAAAAATTGTTTTCCCAACAAGAAAGTTTTTTGAATCATTCAACACGGATGCTTAGTTCTCTCAAAAACTGCAATTTTTTAACATTTAGCTCTGTATCTCCGAAACGGCTGGACCTGCCTTTGCCAAAAACTAATCACCACTTCTCCCAATCATTACAAATTGAATGTTTTTTAGATCATTCAAATCGGACACTCCATTTTCTCAAAAACTTGATTTGTATTTTCTGCACTCTTTGCTCTGTATCTCCGTAACGGATGAACCTGCCTTTGCCAAAAACTAATCAGCACAATCTCCCTATCAGTAGGAATCGAAAGTTTTTTGCATAATTAAAATCGGTTAATTCGTACACCCGAAATCGTGGACGAAAAATTGTCTCCACACACATACACATCCATTTTTTCTGAGGTATGCCAAAATGTTCAGAAACCTTTGAAACGTGAACGTATGCAATAATTTTCATTTTCGATGAGCATCGAGACCTGAGGCAAATTGCTGGAACTTCCCGTACTGTTTTTTAAAATTTACGAAAGCTCAGAAAAAACAATAGATATTTTTGAGAATTTTTGTTTTGTTTTTTCGATCATTTTTGAGAATTAAAAAAAATATTTTTGAAAATACTGATAATTTTCAAAAACAAAATTTGTTGGATTTTTGTTAACTTTCCGTACTTTGATTTTTTTTTTAATGATTTTTGAAAATCAAAAAAAAAACATTTAGAAAATTTGAATATTTAAAAAAATGCCTTCTTTGAAAATACTATTTTTTAAACATTTTTGAAAACTTCGAAATTCCTTGGAACGGAGCAAAGAGTTCTGAAAATACAAATAAAGTCTTTGAGAGAACGCAGCATCCGATTTGAATGATTCAAAAAACATGCAATTTGTAATAATTGGGAGAAGTGGTGATCAGTTTTTGGCAAAGGCTGTTGCAGTCATTTGGGAGATACGGGAGATAAGTGCCAGAATTTATAGTTTTTGAAAAAACGGAGCATCCGATTCGAATGATTCAAAATACATTTTGTTTGTGTTGACAATGTGATAAAACAATTAGTTTTTGGGGAAGCCAAAAAAAACTTTTTTTTCAATTTCCAAAAAATATATTTTTTTTTAATTTCGGAAATAGTTCGGATTTTATTTTAATTCTAGATAAAGTTCTAAAGCTCACATATATTTGAAATAAATAATTTTAACTTTGCAATCCAGTATAAGGTCCTTCATACTAACTATGGTTGATCAAGTTATATATTTGGATAATTTATAAGCTCTTATAATTTGTGTAGAATATACAAATATTTCAGGTTACAGTGCTTATAACAATATTCTAGAAAACATTTAAAACTCATTGAATGTTTAATTACAGTACGAGAAGTTCCAGCAATAAGGCATTATAATTAGCGATAAGAAACATCATAAGCCATTTGATTAAAAATAGATGTATTGACTTGAATAAAATGTTAACAATGCTACTTTTGAATGCAATAGCATTCTAATAATATAATAAATTATCAAAATTAAAATAGAGATAAGAAAAAATTAAGTAAAAGCAAATATTAATGCTATGTATGATGTTTTTTTGGATTTTTAAAGAATTTCTCCCAATAAAAATACAGTCTAGGAAAAGCTTTTAAAAGCATTCATTATGAGCCTTTATCTGTCGATTGATTGTTTTGAATAATATAATTCAAATTTTAACACCTTTATTGTTTCATATTTTTCGATAATAAGCTTTATATATATATATATATATATATATATATATATATATATATAATAAAGAACACGAGCAGCTCTAGATAATAACAAACACCTACAACAAATCTCTAGTCATTTTAGTAGTCCAATCATTTTTTACATAGCTTGATAACTAATCAATTTTTATGTTTTTTGTGAACATCGTTAATTGAATTTTGTTCAAGAGTTTTGTCTGAGATTATTGAAGAGCTTAAATTTATCTACTCTTAAAACAATTCTTAGATATTGGAGACAGAAAGGTTACCATCGATAAAACTAAATAAATCAAATTGTACAAATGTACACACATAGTACGTAGTTCATGAAAGGCTTGCAGAAAGAGCAAAAATATTAAAATCTCAAAATACAAGAGATTTTGAGCGTCAACTAGGTACCATACAAAGATGTAAATCTTTCCACAGAGTTTTTGAAATCTATGCATGCCTGAACATAATTGAGAAATGAATGTTAATGTTAATAAAAAGTGCCATAACAATATATTAAAGCCTTGAAGCACCAAATGTGCTAAATTTGAACAACATCAGTTTCGGATTAGGCTGGCACTTGCAATGACTATTAATGTGCTCCAGGAAAACTTATATGTGACATGCGTTGCAGTGGGTAAACCATATATATAATTTGTGTTTCTTTTACTTATATACAACATACTTTTACATACATAGACATAATATTCAGAGGCTTATATTTAAAAGCACCTTGTTAATTTTTACTTCTGACTGCAAAAGAAAGCAATTGGCATTATGACAAAATTTATTGACAGTTGACACTTTTCAAAGCAATTAATATTGGTTCAATATTTAATTTTCACACAGCAATAAATTAAAATATCAATATGATTAGCGTTAAATGTGTCATTTATCATTTATTACTTACATTAATCTATATGCCTAATTTTTGTTACCACCATCATCTTTTTGTACTAATCTTGATAAAACTTTTGACTTATGATGTCAATTTATTATCACAATATTAAACCTCGTTATCATCGCTCAAAAGGTTTTAAGATGTAATTAGCACTCGAGATATGCCATTTATCACCATCAAAATTTGCCTAATTAAAAATCAGGTTGATCGACTTGGTTAGATTGATTTATTACACAAAATGAAAACAAAATCGATAAACTACAACTGACAAGATTGACGACGAATGTAAGATGGAGAGGAAATTAAAGTTGGTTTTATTTATTTCACTTAAAAACAATAACATTGATTAGAGACTAGTTGGTGACATTTTATTTAACTTTTCGAATATTGACAATAATCTGACTGCGAAGACGCCAGTCATAGATTGAGGGGTGCCTGAGGCGATTGTAAAGGAACAGTGTTGCCAGATGGGAGGGAAATTTGAAAATTTGAGAATGACAGATTTGAACTCAAAATTTAAAAAAAAAGAAACATAAAATTAGGGAATCGGATGTTGATGAAAAACATAAACTTCTCTTTCGGAAAGTTAAAAATACAAATTTAATGCATATTTCTATTAAATTTGAATTTGCCGCTGCCGCTAACTGATGTCACGTGACAAATTTTGACATTTCAAAGCACGTTGCCATATTTAAAAGTTAACCTCAAAATACAAGTCGTGTTATTTGAAACCAATAATAATTAATAATAAATAATTTAAAAATATATTTATTAATTTGATTATAAATCTATTTATTACAATGGACGATGATGATGTACCACAATTATCAGCAGAAACATTCAATATTTTACAACAGTTTTATGCAGAGCAGGCTGCTAAGGAAGATATTATATCTAAACAAAACGATGAAAAAATTGAGTTTCATGAAAATTGGGTAATTTTGGAAATACATATTAATATTTTGATATTTGATACACTAAATATAGCTCTTGGAAGTCTTTGGAAGGCTTTACAATTTATTCACCAGGATGACTATAAAAGACAAAACTAATGTACAATGCATTTAGCGAATATGCCAATTGTAAAGTATATTTTGTTCAATTTATTACAGCAAAAGCATCATTCTAAAAGTACATTTTATGCTAATATCTAATCTCGACTTAACACATTTGTGGACATGAATGCTTAGCATTCATTTTCATTATAACATGAAAGCTATAGCGTTTAAAGTCGAATATTTTGAATTTAGTTTCATCTAACCTCGGGCTTATGTAATTATTATACCCAACAAGGTACTATCTAACTGATTATGCAGGTATTTTCTTATTAACTTATCTTTTACCTGTAGTCACTAATAAGCTTGGGTATGTTTATTGCATAAAATAGAAGCGCAATACTTGATGTGGATGCTATAGAATTTATCTAGTATAAAACAATTAAAATGTGATAATCTGACTTTATAAACGGTGTGTAATCAATTTTTCGGTGTTACAACTAATTTAAAAATAAAATCACTGTCAATTTTTTTCAATTGGTTGAAACTTTTACTCTGCGAACATGTTACACTGCTTGCTATCAGTTTATTATAGCAACTTCTATTCATACATCACATACTGTAATATATTTTTAGAATTTTTATCGGAATTATATTTAAGCAAAATATTTAAGCTTCAGAAAACAGCATTACATATAATTTTTAACTTTTCCAATAAATACTTCTTCAGCAGCATTTTTCCAAAATATAATATTCTAACAATCTATGTATTTTTCTACTGATCTTTTATCAAAAACAATTTGGAACTTTTAAAGATGTCTTCCAGTTCCTCTATCTACGACACCAGATTCAAACTTATATTGAACACACTCTATTAATATAATCGATGGCTTAGGTAATTAATTTATGATTAAACTTTAACTTACTTGGCAACAAAAAATTCCATATTACTTCAGTTAGTATTATTATTTTTGATAATGCAAAAATTTGATCAAGATAATAAATAAAAGTTAATAAATAAAATAAATATATTTAATATAATGATCAAAATTCCTTAAATACACCTATAATTTTAAATTTTAGCAATTAAGCCAGTTTTGGTATGACGATAACACAATACAGAGTTTAGTTAACATCATAATAAACTCAGTAGATGAAGGAGCACATGTCGCTCTAATATCATGTCCTTCATTATATAAACACTTAAAAGAAAATTGTACACAAAAGAATATCAAAGGTACATTACCCAACCACAAATACATCCATTAAATAAAATAAATTATAACAATATTTCCTTTACCTTTTAGTAAAATTATTGGAATATGATAAACGATTTGCTGTGCATGAAGACTTTGTGTTCTATGATTACAATGAACCTTTAAATCTGCCTAAAGAGCTAGAAAAATATTTCGACTTGGTAATAATGGATCCACCGTTCTTAGCAGAAGAGTGTTTAACTAAAGCGTCTAAAACTGCAAAACATTTATCGAAACACAAAATTATCTTATGCACCGGTGCTACGATGGAGGAGTTGGCGAATAAAGAACTTGGGGTTAAAAGAACTGGTTTTGTACCGCATCATAAGAATAATTTGGGAAATGAATTTTGTTGTTACAGTAATTATGAGTTGCCTAATAAATTTTAATATAGAGAAATTGATACAGGGGTTTTATTTTTTGTCAGAAATTTGAATTTAAATATTCTGATTGACTGTTTATGAAATTATATTGAAGAAAATATAAATTCAAATACATTTGGAAAATGATTTAGCTAATATTCAAATTTTATTCAATTTGTTAGTGCTGGTACCTAAATGTTCTGGCTAGTCTGAATATATTCAGTCGAGTTAAAATATGTTCTAGATAGTCTGGAAACGTTTTGGCTAGTCAAAAAATGTCTAGATAGTCTGAAAATGCTTTGGCTAGTCTATAAATGTTGTTGATAGTTTGAAAATGTCCTGGCTACTTGAAAATATTTTGGCTAGTGTGAAAATATTTTGGCTAGTTTTAAAATGTTCTGGATAGTTAGAAAATGTTATGGCTAGTAGGCAAATGTTTTGGCTAGTCTGAAAATGCTTTGGATAATCTGAGAATATTCTGATAAGTTAAAAATGTCCTAGATAGTCTGAAATGCTGTTGGCTAATAAGAAAATAATGTTCTGGCTAGTCTGAATTTTTTTTGGCTAGTTAGAAAATGTTCTGGCTGGTAGGAAAATATTCTGGCTAGTCTAAAAATATTTTGGCTAGTTTGAAAATGCTCTGTCTAATCTGAAAATGTTCTAGCCAGTCTGAGAATGTCCTCGTTAGTTTAAAAATGTCCTAGATGGTCTGAAATGCTTTTGGCTAGTAAGAAAATGTTCTGACTAGTAGAAAAATGTTGTGGTTAGTAGGAAAATATTTTGGGTAGTCTGAACATGCTTTGGCTAGTTAGAAATTGTTCTGTCTAGTTAGTAAATGCTGCGGCTATTTAGAAAATGTCCTGGCTAGTAAAACAAAATACGTGTTGGTTTGAAGATGCTTTTGGCTAGTAGGAAAATGTTCTGGATAGCCTGAAAATATTTGGGTAGCCTCTAAATGCTTTGGCTAGCAAACAAATGTTCTGGCTAGTGGGAAAATGTACTGGTTGGTCTGAAAATATTTTAGCTTGTTTGAAAATGTTCTGGCTTATAGGCAAATGTTAGCCAGAACATTAGAAAAATGTACTGGCTAGTCTAATAATGTTCTAGATAATCTGAAAATATTTTGGCTAGTCTAAAAATTCTCTGGCAAATCTGAAAATGTTGTGGCTAATAGAAAAATTGTTCTAGCTAGTACTAAAAAATATTTGGCTAGTCTGAGAATGCTCTGGCTTATCTGAAAATATTCTATTATCTGAGAATATTCTGGTTAGTCTAAAAATTTCTTAGATAAACTGAGAAGATTTGGCTAATTAGAAAATGTTCAGACTAGTAAAAAAATGTTCCGGCTAGTAGAAACATGTTGTGGCTAGTCTAAAAATGTTCGGGATAGTCTGAGAATATTCTGGTTAGTCTAAAAATGTCCTGGATGGTCTGAAATGTCTCAGCTAGTTAGAAAATGTTTGGGCTAGTTAGACAGCAGGTCTCTGCATAATGCTGATTAGATAATATTATTATTTAAATAATACTTCACACAAACATTATTACCTTACCAAATGAGAAAAATAAAAATACACATAAAATTCCATTAATTATAATTGAAGATAGTTGATATTTCAACATTAACCATTTCTGAACATCTGCATTTCTAATTAAAGTCATTTTTATTTCTTCTCCTCCCTAATTAATAATACGTATACTTCTTATGAAACTTGCAGAACTTCCTATACTGCCAATTGCTATGCACGCCCTTGTCAGTCTTCATACAAGTGCATTCAACTTCCACACTTCCCTTATCTTCTTCCACGTCTTTTAAGGGCTCCAATTTTTCCACCTCCAATCTGGTTTGTTCCTTGTTCTGGTTTGAAGCAGTGCGAACTGCTCTGGGGGCTGCTTTTACGTTATGCGAGGCACTTTCAAGGGGGCGCCGGAATAAAACATCGCAAACCTCATCAGAATCGTTGGTAGAGGCTACTTTGGTGGTAGGTTGATCACTGGCTGGACGTTTTACTTCAGAAACACTTCGAGCAGTGGTTGGACCTAGTTCTCTGCTAGATTTGTGGTGAATTTTAGGTTTGATTTCTAGGCCCGCAGGTAGACGTTCTGATGGTTTGTTATTCGCGTTTAAGACTTCGCGAATATGTAATTTTTGGTCGTCATCTTCATCTTTTCCACGAGTCCTGAAAGAGAAATATGTTTAAATTAACTAACTAGCACTTGGGTAATAAAATATTTTTGAACAAGTACCTCTTTGATTTATCTTCATCAGGTTTTTCCTTACTGGATCTATAATAACTCTAGGCTTTTCAGCAACCATCTCATTTTCCTTCAAATTTTTGGTTGACCTAGGGACTGGTTTCAAGTCATGATCACGCGGTAAAATCACTTTATCCTCCGAGGTAGATTTAGCTCTAAATAAGGTCCTTCGTTTTGTATCTATATCCAAAGAGCGTTTAGGCGAAGACACTTTTCTGCAAATAAAAAAAGAAATAAACAAACTAATTATACCAGATTATTGGGGTAATTCTGCCTCATAGCATAGCTTTGTCATGGCAACGCTATCTTATGCTCATTTCTTGCTAGTCTATCTATTATCTGTGCGATCAGGCGTATTTTTCATATAAACTAGCAAGGAAGAATGTTATAATAACAGAATCTTCGATGACGCAGTTATCATAAGATTCTTCCTTGCTTGTTTATGAAAAATATGCCTGATCGCATAGCAAATAGATAAACATTTTCACAGTTTTCACTACCAATAAACAAGCATAAGACAACGTGTCAATGACAATGTCATGCTATGAGGTGGAATTTCCCCATATATTTTATAAGTTAATTACACCAACCTGTGTTCTTCAAGAGAACTTCCACTAATTGCCAAGTGTAGTTTACCTTTGCTCATCCCACGGTTTTTAGAAAGTTTTGCAACAACCTTATCTTTAGCTGTTTTGTAAATTGTTTTCTTAGATTCTCGCATTTTCGGAACATCGTCAGTGGATTCTGTTGTCGATGGAAGATTAGATGTTTTCTTAAAAGCACCTTTTCGCTTAGGCGAGGCTGTTCTGCTGGTGTCAGTACTTGAATACTCCCCCTGATTCCTTTGGAGACATTGTATCGGTTGCGAGCTCAACTGACTCGATGTGCAAGCAATTTCTGTTAATTTTCTTTCCTTGTCCTCAATTTCAGACTTTGAAGGCTCAGTGGATGAAATCGGTTTTAGACATACGATACACGATGGCGATTTATTGGCGTTCATTTCGCCGCTTGATTGGGTTTTTGGAGCAGATATTTGAACATCTATGACGTCTTTACACTTCGATCTTTCGTTAACCGCTTGCTGTATCTTTCTACCCGCATTGCTAGCAGACGTTTTTCTGGCCACAGGATTTTCTTGAATCGTAAGATGTTTCTTTTCAGTTATTCTCCGTGGTGAAGCTGTTTTGGCCACCGTTCGATCTTGAATAATCATTTGAGTTGCTATGATTTGCTCCGAGCATCGAGAAGTATCATTGTCATTGGACAAGATTCCGCTAAATTTTGGACACAATGACGGTCTGTCAGAGTACATTGATTCAGATAATGAACTCGTATCAAAAGGGGATTTCTCTCTATAATAATCAGAATCTGTTTTACTTTATGGTGTCCGTCTCTTGTTGGTAGTTTTTTTCATCCCGCCTCCCACTTTCTCTGGTATTTTGGTTGCGGCTTGAGGTGAAGCCGGTGCACTGTCGTATACATTTCAGGCGGTGCATTATATTGACCAATGGTTCGTGGTTTGGTACAGGACCACGATTACCTTGATAGTA